TGTTCTTTCCCAAATTCCATAACCATCAAAAACTGGGGAACAGGCTAAAATATCTGACCATTCAAAATCAGCAGAGTCAGCTGGGCATGATGGCACCAATCTATAATCCTAGCAATAGTGAGGCTGAGGCAGCAGGATTGCCATTAGCTCAAGGCCATCCTGAATTTCATAATGAGACTGTCTCAAAAAAAAAAGAAAAAAAGATCAGCAAAATCATGAAAAGCGAGGAAAGACTGAGAAACTATGACAGATTGGAGAAGACAAAAACAAGACAACTGAATATGATATCCTGAATTGGATACTGGAAAACAACTGATGAAATCTGAATAAAATCTATACATTAGTTAAAAACAATAAACAAATATTAGGTGCTTAGTTTCTGTAAGTAGACTGTGTTTACTTAAGATTAAGCTTTACTTATGATAGCTGCAAACTAGAAACAAGTTAAATGCTCATCAATGTTAGAGTAGAAAAATAGATTGTGATACATTTATACAATAGAATAGGAGCAGTACCAATAAAAATGAACAAACTATTGCAACATACAAAAACATCACTGAATCTCACATACATAATGCTAAGTGAGACAATCAGACACAAGGGCACATTCAGTATGATCACATTTCTATGACATTAAAGAACTGGTAAAACTCATATATGGGAAACTGAAGTGGATTTTTAAAATGGGGCACAACCATTTTGTAGCTTCTACCATCAAGTAGATAGAATTTATGCTCCGCCCCTAGAATCTGAGATGGCCCTGTGATTTGCTTTGACCAATAGAATACCCCAGAAATGATATTATACAACTTGTGAGCACTCTGTTGCTGCCTCTCTTGCTGCTCTGAGATCTGTATGTAAAGCATCTCAGTCTATCCTTTAAAGGACAGATCCATATGGAGAGAAAGCAGGAAACCTGATAGTGAGCATCAACCACCAGACATGCATAGACCAGCCAAGCCAAGTCAAATGACGACACATGAACGACCCCAGATAAGACCAGCATAATTGCTCAGCTGATCTCAGCCTAAACTTCTGACCCACTGAACTATGAGCAAATAAAATGTTATTTTTCACCACCAAATTTTGGAAGGCTTTAACAGATAGCCAATACAATAATAGAAGACAGACTAATAGTTTCCTGTAGGGTATGGATATTGTATGAAGGGACGTATGAGATCCTTCTGAGGTGCTGGGCATACTTTATATTTTGATCTGAGTTGTGCTTACACAGTGTATATTTACAAACTAAATATATATGTGTGTGTGTGTGTGTGTGTGTGTATATATATATATATATAATATATGTAAAAATTCATCAAGCTGCATGCCTGATTTAGGCA